TCCTTCCTTTCCTTTCCACATCACAGGCTTATTCTCCGGTTACCCAAGGAGAACAGCACCCATCTAACCCCAATTCCCATGGCCAGCAGCAGACGAGGGCTGCAGAAATACACCTGGTCAGCAGGTGTGCTGCCTTCACAGAGGCAGGAGCAGAAGCGAGGTAGGACCCTGGAGATGCTCCATTCTCGCAGGGTGGACAGCAAGGGAGGACAGTCCCTGCCTGGTCTGCCTGTGCCCTCTTGTGGCTGCCTGACCATGCTGCAGGGAGAAGGACCGAAACCTGCGGAGAAAGAGAGGCGGCAATTCCCCCTCGCAACGAACGAAGATTCTTCTATTACTTTTTAATACAGATTGTAGGATCTCCCCCCGTAAAAAAAAAAAAGATAGCTGGAGACAGCTCTCCATGCAAAATTTAGCTGCTTAACACAGGACAGGTCAGGAGCAGAAAAGCACAGAGCAACTTTAGTTATCTGAGCAGACAGCAGCCCACTCCAGACCCATCAGGGAAAGGGCACCCAGGCAGTTTTGAGTTTGGCAGGAAGAGGACAGCCCTCCTAATTACTCCATCACCTCTGCTGTTGGCCCTGGCAGCTGCCTGCCATCTCCTCCTTGAAGCCCCCCCATCCAGGGGAATTTGTTCCGTCCCTGTTGGCAGCTCCGCTCGCATCCCTGCTCTACTCCAGCACTGGCAGCGAGGGCACAAGCAGGACGGGAAGACCCCACCAGTCTGCTCCTGCTTTGAGATCACCAGTGGGCTTCCTTCTCCACGCCCAGATGACTTGTCCTATAAAATGGTTACCACCACGTGAAAAATGGTAACATCATTTTAGAAAAAGGCACAGGACCTTTGGGTAAGCATCACTGCTCTCTGTTGGGGTTCTCCACATCCGAGGCGGCAGCTCCTTCCTCTGGGCACTTGTTGAAACTGAGCCACCTCCATCATCTCTCCTTCCTACAATGTCGGATGCCAACAAGAACGAATCCAACCATGGCAAATTTTAAGCACACTCACCGACCCGAACAGGCCAGGGAAATCTGAGCAGCAGTGAGGTGCCACTCGTCCCGTGAGAGGAAGGCAGTAACACCCACATTTACAGAGGAGCGGGAAGGGAAAAGGATGACGGGGAGATTTGGGGGCCTGGCTAAGAGTATCTCGGGCACTCTGGGTAGGGAGGACACAGGACCCCAGTCCCTGGCTTTAAACACAGCACGGAGAAGGACATGCTGATGTTTGTCACGCTGTCATAGCGAGCATCAGTGACTGGGTCTCAGGACTGCATGCAAACAGGAAAAATGGCGAAGGCCTGACCACCCTTGCATCAAGCACGAATCCAGAGGAAGCCCATGGGGGTTCAGAGGTTTGTTGCCCCACGCTGGGGAGAACCTCAGCACCGAGCACTCACCCTGCCTCACCCAAGGACACCAGGTTCCTTGGGGCCAGTCTTTCTCTTACTCATCCTCACGCAAGTTTACCTTCAACGTAGGAGAAGCCCTAGGTCCCAGAACCACTACTGCCATGAGGTCTAACACTGTTTTCTACTCTGGTTGTACCTCTGCTTCAGTTACCCAAAGGCATATGATGTTTTGTTCTTTCCCTCCACTGCCATCACCGAGAGATGGTGGCAAGAGATCTTCCAATGTTAGTGTCCACAGCTAAACGCAGGAGGAGAGAAAAGTTATTTTAGTGAAGCCGGGGTGACCCAACTTTCCAACCTGAAGAGTCCGAGAGCTGCTGCAGGGCAGGCACACGCTGCGCCCACAACCAGCCAGCATCTCACTTGCGCTCGCCTCTGCTGTGGCATGGAGAGCTGCGCATGGGCTGGGGCCAGGGGAACCCAGCCGCAGTGCCCCCTCCTAGAAAGGAGAAGAAAGGGCCTGCAGGAGCTGGCTCTACCTTTTGGTAAGAAAAGGCAGCCTTTTCCAAATCAAGTTGCAGCTAAAAGCAGGAGGAATTACCTGAACAGCAGGAGCAAGTTCAGTCCCCAGTGCTGCTACAACTCATACGTGCCAGCTCCTGCCTTCGTGCCCAAAGCCCCGAGCCCCTGCGCAGCCAAGGGGAGACCTGCCCAAGAAGAGTCCACGATCCAAACACCTCCAGAGAAGAGAAGCATTCACTCTACACCACTTAAGGGCCCATCAGTAATGACAACTTTTGAAAAGTTCCCACCACAGTTCTGCCTCCACCTACTGGTAAGAAAAGCAGGAGACTGCTCAGCCCTGCAAGGAAAGAGGAAGGAAGAAGATCCTTGAATTAACCAGCCTTTGGGACAGCCAGCATATCATTCCATGTACTTCACGCTAGTACATGGAAGCGGAGCACAACTGAGGAAGAAACCTCAGCCTCCCTCAGCAAGAACCACAGGGACCTGCCTTGTCAAAAGAAACAGAGTTTTGCGTCTGGGAAACACTCTGCTTTCTACCAAAAGACCGTCTCTTAGTCCCCTGGAGAAGTCAGGGACTTTTATCAGTCAGGGGCAGACTGATAAAGCAAAGCATTAAAACCCCAGTCCCTAAAAGCGTTAAAAACAGGTGGCAAGCGAAGCACAGAGCACAATGCCAGCCCAACTTGATTTCTTGGCTACCGAGCACACACGCTCCAACCAACCCAACCCTAGAACTGCAACCAGGCAGATCTTTAAAGAGGTTAATAGCAAATGTTTATTTTCCTTTAATAAAGGGCAGGGTGCAACGATCCCGCTGTTAACGGAGTGACTTCGTATTAATTTACAAATTGTTCTCTCTGCTTTGTTTTAAATGTAAGACAACCTTATACAATGCATTTCTCGAATTCCTTTCATCTCAAAGTGCTTTACAAAGTGACACTGGGGCGGGGGGGAATCCCACAAGCCTTCCCCAGTGCTGCAATGCAGCCACGTCTGTTGTGCAATATAGCAGCTAATGGCACAGAGAGATCAAAAGGTCAGGGGGAACAGATAGGAGCAGAAACTGCCACGGATAGAATTTACCTGAGCTGAAGTCTGCAACTAGGGAAGACATTTCTATTTTCTCCTCTGGAAAAGCTGGTGTCAAATTGCCACAAGTCTGCAGACACCCAAAAAATGCAGGTTTATCACCACCTCAGGACCCAGCCAGACTCTTACCCAAAGATGTATTTTTCAGGCTTGTACTCTACGTTTGAAACACACTCCTTTGGTGAAGGGTAGCAGATATGCACACTCACCTAGCCAGGGTGAGCGGCTGAGTTGGGGCACTCAGCTGCAGGAAACAAAAGCTGAAGTGGGGTGTTGACAACTTGGACTTGCAGGTCAGCCCTTTCTGAGCTGAAGGAGGTGGATTCCATGTTCGTATGTATTCTCCCAGCTCTGGGGATGACGATTCACATTTCACATAGCTACTAACCCTTGGCAAACAATATGCTGGTACAGCTATAAGAAAAGGAGTACCCTGAGGAGCAACTCAGCAGCATACTGTGAAGTTGCACTCAGTGACAGGAAAGCTTGTGCTCACAGTGGGGTCTTCCACAGAAGGTTCTCAGATCTACTGTGAAGCTGTCCTTGTATTAGGTTCCAAGCCAAATACTTTTGTCTTTCCTGTCTATTCCTCCCTCCCCTGAACAAAACCACAGCAACTCAGTTAATTTTCTTCCACTGAAGATACAGAGTTCCTACTGTAGCATCTCCCAGGAGAAGATGAAGCTTAATGGAGCTGAGGATGGTGATCTGGTTCTGGGCACCAACTTGCTAAGATGGGAGTCATGATGATGGCAGAGGGACAGGGTAGCACACCAGTCAAGGGTGCAGAAATGCCACGTGAGATGAAACCTCCAGGGTGGGTGGCGGCTGAGCCGATTTCACAGTCAACTGAAGAAAAAAAAAAGGCTAAACTGTCTACAAAACACTGCCATGTCTTTAACACGGTTCTGTACAAACAAGCCTGGGCCTGAGCTCAAGCTATAGCTGGCCTCTGCTTTCCAACAGCTTTAGCTACAACCTTCCCAGCGCGCTTTGAGGCACACGGGAACCACAGGCACATCCCTCACACGTGCACAGAAAAGATGTCTCAAATTTCCTCACTGGGGATGGCATCCCAGGAGAAGCTGGGTTTCCCAGGAGATGCACATCTCTAGGTCTCATGTAACACTGGGGAGGACATCTTGGGGCCTCAGGACAGTGCCCAGCCTGGGCATGCTCCTTCTGGAGACAAAGAACCCAGCCTGGGACCATGGTGTCTGTCTCAACAGTGGGAACAGCACTGCCCAAAGCTCCCTCAGAGCAGCAACAGCTCAAAGGCGTCTGTTTGTGGGTGAGGTTGTATCTAAGAGCACCATGGGGGAGGGACTTCTGCACCAAGGATTGTCACACTTGACACTGCACGACCCATCAAGGTCCACATCTGCCTGCGACAACTGCAGCAGATTCTTTAGACCAGGAGAAAACATCCTGCAGACTGCAGCCAAGTTGCGGCCAGCTGTGAGTTATGCAATTTTTCCCTGCTCGCTTTTTTCTGCCGAAGGCCCCAGGTGCACAGCTCCAGCCTCTGCTCCGGCTGTTCCCCCAGCCTGGATTACCCAGTGCCAAATCGCAAGCTAAAAACAGAAACAAATCCCTCATTGTGACTCTGCTGGCAGAAAGCTTCTCCTGCTTCTCTTCTCCTTTAAAAAGAGCAAGGAAATACTTGGAAACAGGCTGTTCATGGCTCTCCATGAGATTATCGTGTGCTGCTGGCATTTACAGGGCTGTTAGGGGAGTGAGTGGTCAGCAGGACCTAGGTGTACGGCTGGGCGCAGCCCCCTCCACCCCAAAGAACGAGTGGAACAGATGGACGGACAGACAGCCAGCATCTGTCCTGAAAGACGTGCTTACAAAGAAGGTCCAGGACTCCCGCTTCACACAGGGCTGGCCTTATATTATGCCAAAGCAGACTGCATATAAAAACAAGTTTTTTAAAAAAAAAAATGGATATACACTGCATATAGGAGACTCCATAGAGGACTGTCTATAGACGGCCACCCCAGCGCAGCCAGGGCCAGCCCAGCTCTGAGAGGGTAGCTCGGCAGCTGCATTCCAGTCACAGTTGGAGAAGTGGGACAGCTGAAGGTAGAACTTGTGCTTCTTGCTCCTTGATCAGCTTCAGGCAGAGCGAGGGTGGGGAGGGAGTAAGGCCCACTGCAGGAGAGGCACTGCATTCATATGTTTGGCAGACTGCATTTGACAAGCCATTCGTACAGGAGCAGGTTCCTTCCATGCTCAGGCCTCTGCTTACATCTCACTGGGATAAAACCCAAGTTTGGCCAGAGACATCTCCCTCCGGAGCCGCATGACCTCCCAGTACATCAGCTCCACTGCAAAGCAAAATGGGTGTGGGGAAGAGAAGGGTAAAACACACACACACACAAAAAAAAAAAAATAATCAGTAAGCAAGGCACAGCTGGACACCACCTCATGTTATGCTGCGCTCTCAGGGCGGCCCAGCCAGGCTCATCCCCAAAGCGAGGGAAGCAGACATGCCGGAGGGTCCAGCAGGACAGGCCCATCAGGTCACCCCTTACCAGCTCCACCCCAAGGCAAAGCTCCCAACAAGCTGAAGAGCAAGGAATAGGTGCATCTATTCCTCCCACTCATGCCTGTCATTTGTCATTTAACTGTTTCATAAAAGATGCAGGGAGTTCAGGGTACCCCAAGCTGGCCCCATGCCTGTCACACTGACTGGGACCTCTTAATTCCTCCCAATGCCCCACAGAAGGCACCCCCACCACAGCCAGCTACCAACCCCTCTTACCATCCTGCCTCACCAAGCCCTGCTGGATATAGCGAATGTATGTGAAAAAGTTGCACACCGCTGTGATCTGAGGAAGAGAGGAGAAAAAAAAAAAAATTCTGGTCATCTGCAATCCCATCCCAAGATATTACACTATCCACGAGACACTGTGGAAAAACTCCAGTCTATTGCAGATTTAAGACATAAGTAACCACTACTTTTAATGTGGCAGCAGAGTCCATGATCTCCCTGTTCACCAACTGAATGAAAATCTTTGGAGTTAAAGCTTTGTGCAGAAAGCGTGTGAGCAGGGAGGTAAGGGTGTGACACAGAGTACCTTGGTGCAAGTGACAAAAGTTGGTCAACTTAAGTCCACAAAACCAACTTTTTGCCTCAGAAATAGTCACATGTTGCAGGATCAGCTCTTCTGATATGCAGCTCGGGAAAGAATAAACTTCTAAAATGCTCCATTGAATCAGAGCCCCAACAGCAACATTAACAAATCATTCACCTTCTCCCTTCCTTCCAAAGAAAGGACAGCTTGTTCTCATAACCATTTGAGTCACTGATCTGTTCTGGAACAGTAACAAGAGCCAGCATTTAGAGAAGAAAATTACTGTGTTTTACAAAGGAGAATTAAAAAATAATAATAAAAGTAAAACAATCAAGTCCCTGTACTGAATCAAACCATGGAAAGCAAACACACTGAAGACAGGTTGTCTGAAGGAACGTAAGGCAGAGCACGAGGCAAGGCTGGAGACCTGCACCCTAGTCATCAGCCAAGAGCCACCTCAACTCCAGTAACAAATTCAAGCCCCACAGGTCTCTGTCAGTTTGAGGGCTGACCCATGAGCTCCTCCGTCTCACGGCTTGGAACAATTCTGGAGGGTTGAGGCACCCTGGGAAGGTGGAAGACTCACCCTGGCCCTGCAGGATGGTGAAATGTAGTAGTAATTCCCAGAATCTCCCAGCATGATGCGGTGCTTGCAGGTCCTGGGGAGGCCACTCAGAGCACACTTCCTGCAGAAAAAGAAAAAACACTTCAGCCTTTAGCAATCTAGTGGCACAGCAGAACACAGCAATTCAACAACCTCAAGACTATCCCCAAGAGATGGATGTGGGACCCCAGAAGCCAGACGCTGTGTCAGTTCAGCAGGAAGAAGAAAAAAAACCCTTGGCTGATATGAGCCTTTTGCTCCTTGAAAGATTCCATAAACGGCAAGTTTAGGAGACCTTAGGCTAAATATCTGGAACCATGAATTATTCCATGCCCAAGCAAACCAAGGCTGTCCTATTTCCCTGGCAGACAGCCCAGGACAAAACCACAGAAAATATTACACAGGTGAGGCTGGAGCAGAGTGTAACAAATGTCATCTGGTCTCTGCACATCTCCTCCATGTTCCAGGCACGGCTTTTGCCAAAGGAGTTCTGCTCAGGTGTATCAGCTTTCCTGATGGGATGGAAAACATGCTGGCTGGAAACCAAACCTGGTCTCAAAACAGGTAAATCCAGCATTTGAGCAGTATTTGCTCATGATGAGAACTCAAAACAAGCCACACTGCAACCTTTATACTAGCCTCCTATTAATTAATTTGAGCCTGATTTGAAGCTACATGGAATGACTTTGTACTGACTTCAGGGGGCTTTGGATAAGGCTTGCAGTTCCTAAAAAACAAGCCAATCCCTTCTTGTGCAGACAGGGAAGAAGCTTGGCTTCACAGTTGTAAGAAAGTTTCAGACCAAGTGAAAAAAAAAAAAAAATAGTCTTTTCAAGACAGCTCAGCTCCCAGGGAGACCACCAAAAGATGTAACCGGCAAGGGTGCAGCATGTCACTGTCTTCATGCCATTTCCTTCTGTTATTTGCAAGACGAATGGTTCCCAGCACCAGCCAGTTGCCCTTCCTTCATCACCACCGAAAGCAGTCAAGCAGAATTTTCTGCTTTTTCATCACCACATTCCCCAGAGACTTAGTGCCTGCATGGTGGGAAGAGGGACATCACTCCCCAGCTGCAAAAAATTACTGTGCGGGCCATGGAAGACAATAACACAAAGGAGCAGATGTTAAAGAGAGCTTCTGAGCATGTGTCTCTGCTTGCTTTCCACTGCTATTAAGGCAAATATTAGCCAAGAGTGGAAGCATGTACTGCTTAAGTGTTCGGACGCAACGGGAAGTAATCATTGCACAAATATTAACACACCTGACAGGAATCAAATCCTCGGAAGGCGCAGGATGACTGATACCTTTGTAAACAAGATACTTTTAAGAGGTCCTACATTTGAGTATCGCAGTGCACTGGGGGTGGGGGGAAAACCCCTGCTGGTCACTCTCAGCTTGGCTGATACCACATGGCGTAACCCCAGCTATCACAACTAGCTCAAAGTAACCTAAACCACAGCATTTGGACATCTGCCCTTCAGCACTCTACACATCCCAGGGCACTTTTCCAGACATGCCATCACGAAAGCCAGTTGTCCTCAGCACCTCCTGGCCAACATTTTGCTCTGATGCCACTGGCTGTCACACGGTGGCCAACTCTGTCCCTGCCTGTTTAGACTCTCTAACTGTTGCACTGACAGACAAGTAGGTCTGGTCAGTCCCAGCTTGGGCAGGGACCCCAGCTTTCTCCTTTCTAGTCCACAGCATGTCGAAAGTTGCCATAAAAATCAGTGGTTTGCATCTGGGAAGCAAAGAGGAACAAATTCCTTTTGGGTCCTTTATTGCCAATAGCAAGGTTCCTTACCATCCTGTCTGGGTGGAAATCAAAGAGTTAAAAAGTTAGCTTAGTTCAGCTCTAGCCTCAAATCTGCTAAATAGCACTAAGTTAGTAACTTGTTAATGGATTAGAGACCTTTGATCACTGACTAAAAAAATAAGTACTTCACTTACGTTACAATTTGTGACCAGAACCCACTGTGAAGACACACAAAAAACAAAACAAAAGGAAACCGATAAGAATAAACACAGGATGGGTTGTTCTTGGAACAGGCCTGACACATACTCATGGAACAATTTGCCTAGAGATGACAGAAAAAGCAGAAGAGAGTGGTAGGAAACCTGCAGGCAAGCAGCATTTGCTGTTACAGAAACACCTTCACTTAGAAAGTGCTCTGAAGGTAAAGGAGGGAAGAACAAAGAGAAAGTGCCCCGACTGAACTTAAATTCAATAGCTGGATAAAGTCTGCTATCTTCATCTGGAATATCATGCCACTCTTGCTAGTGCTCCCCTTCTTTGAGGCAATCTCAGGTTGTCACATAAGACACAGTCACGCAAGGTCTGGAGCAGCCATAGCCCCAATTCTGATGGCAAGGTGACAGCATCAGGTGAGGAAGGTGATATGCAGCAAGAGGACATCTCTTCTGACAGAGGCTCAAACCCACCTGGTGCACCAGCAAGGTCAGGAGTGCAAAGTGAGTTCAAACCTCACAAGATGCAAGAACATGAGATAATGCAGCTCTAGGTTATGCACAAACACACCTTCAGAAAACATTAAACCTTAAAGGGGGGAAAAAAAACCCAAACCAAAACACCCTCTCCCAAGCCAAGGGCACTAACACATCACTAGGTTATACTCCAAAACAGTCAACTCCCATCCATCAGCTGAGCTAATTCCCCTTCTCACATGAAGGGTTGAGCTGAGCTACCACTGGCCATAGGGTAGGAGAACACTCTGCTGAGCCCTTTGAACTGTTCAACTCAACTGACTGAGCAAGGCCTGGCCAAACTCCACCAGATCGTACAAAAAGACCAGTAGGAAGGAGGACAAGAGAGCATAAGCACGGTTCCTTACTTTGGCCCACTGCACTCTTCTGCTGACACCTTCACCACAGGCAGTGTCTGGGAAGCAACTGGCTCAATGGTGAGTGTATTCTGCTCCACAGCCACTCGCACCAGCTCCGACAGCTGCGGCAAAGAGAAATGAGTGCAGATATGAGTGTACAAACATCACCTCCATAAAGGTGCAGCTTTCGTGCTGCCAGACTGTGCAGTTTTCATCCTCCTTTTCTAGCACTCACCTCCTGCTTAGTGAAGTCCAGACAAGGTCCTACATCTTCTCGATAAATTCTGTCCAGGAAGGAACAGGATTTATCCAACGTTGGAGATTCCTTCCAGGCCTGGAACTCAGCAAATAAAATGGAGTCGACCTGCAGCAAGTGTCCAAGAGGAGCAGGAAGAGGGAAGGTGGGTGAAGGGAGAGATACCATATCCAGAGGTATCTGTTACTATGCAGGTAACCTAACTATGAAACATCTGCTTTGGCATCTAGAAAGGCTCAGACATCGCAGAAGTGTCTGAAGGAAGCTGGCTTGCTCCAAAAATCCTTCATCTCCCACCCACCAGCAGTTCTGTGCCAGACTGACACAGCCATACTGGGCTTATTCTGCCAGAAATGTGCAGGCAACTCTGTGTCCCACCCTTCCTCCAGGACAGGGCAGCACCTCTGCTGCAGGAAAGCCACCACACAACCACCGAACAGTCCAAGTGCCCACTCAGCCGATGGCAGGAGTGACAAGAGCAACTGAATGGCAAAGCACAGTGGCAATGGCACCCAGGACGCAGGAGGCAGCACCATTCTGTAAGGAAAGGACTGCTACAGAAAAGGATGCATTGCAAAAAGCTATTAATAAAAATCCATCAGCAGGGCTCCATTCCACGAGCCCAAGTATGAGCTCACAGGGTATGCCAGCCCTTTAAACACCACTCCAAGCCCAGAACTCTGGTGTTTGAGGAGTTGCAGAAGTAATGGGAACACTGGGCAGCCACACACACTTGCAGGAGCGAGCTGAGCGTAGGAAAGGAGGTCTCTCAAAGGAAACTCAAAGAGTAGGAACAGCTTTCCCCATTCTAATGTCTGCTTGTTGCCTTTCACAGTGGGCCTGCAAGCATTATCACTGCTCAGCAGAAAAAAAACCAGGACAGAGCTTGCTCCCATCCCCTGAGCCAGCAGGAAGGTTGCTCCCTCCATCCCTGTCCAGCTAAAAATAATTCAGTCCTGGAGACTTTCTGGGACCTGACATTTAAAGCCCAGATGGACCATTAGCAGAACCACCAACCTGACTGACAGGGCATCTCCTTAAAAGGCCAGCAAATCCTGTTAAAGCTGCTGACAGAAAAAACAAACCTTAAGAAGCCCTGCTGAGCAACACGAAGAACATAAGTGAACAAAGCTGGGAAAGGTCTGGGTTCTAGCACACTCGCTCTATGCTATGCCAACTGCTCAGCCGATACCAGGAGACAGCTTCAGAGCCACAAGATGGAAAATCAAATCGAGGGGAAAAAAAAACACCAAACACAAAAAGCAAAACAAAACAAAGAAAAGTTAGCTTAAAAGGAAGCTACAACTGAAAGGCTGGAAGTGTGAGAGGCAGATGGGTCCCACCCTCCCCAGTGCTGTCCAGAAAGGTTACCTGCCACAAGGATGAGGAAGCATCTGCCCCCAAGGCCTGCCAGCCTGGTTCATAGGTGATGTGGATAGCCTTCCCAGGGATGATACAAAGGAGCAGAGAGAGGAGAGCGGGTAACCCAGACTTTGAGGGCAGAGGAAGAGAGACAGACAGTGAAGGAAAAGGTTTAGAGACAAGCAAGAAAGGGAGGTAAAAAACATGAGACAAAATAGAAGATACAAAGAAAGGCTCAAGTCCTCCCTTCCAGGGAACTAAGCATGCTGCTCAAGGCGTCAAAAGGTGTGGCTTGTGGCCTCGTGACTTCAGCTTGAATTGCAAAAAGGGAACAGAAATTCTGTCATTTCTAGGCTCAATTCAAGATGGGGCATGGGTTTTTTTACATAGAACACCAACCACCAACTATCTGAATGGCAGGTTCCCTTTTATCACCTCTCACATAAGCCACTAAGGAATTTGAGAGATGGAAATTAAGAAGTTAAGAAAAAACACAACACCCCTGATATATAAAATTATTAGTCACTTTGGAAGCTGTAACCCTGGGATTTTAAGCCCCAGGATATCTGCACCATATACCTACACAAAGAAATGACAGGTCCAAATCTTTCACAAGCAAGTCACAAGAGCTAGCATTTCTCTAAAGATCATCCACGTGAGCTTTGCCAAGACTGAGCCAAGAACGGTAAAATGAACTACCCAGTAGGCAAAAGTTCCCTCTGCTCAATATAGGCAGAGGGCAACTTCTGCCGGGTCATCAGTGGTTCACCGAACTGGGCCCTCAGTCTGGAGCTCCTCTGTTCTGACTGGAGGAATGATTAGCATTGGGAAAGGTCAGAGGGCCTTAAAAAGATTAAAACCTTCTTCTTCCTGGCCCTCAGAGCAGCTTCTAGCTGACTGCATTTGACTCCAGCTTCCAGCGTATCTGGACTGTTCCCTTGACCAAGAGAAAACAGTGCATCAGGTCTTCACAGTTACTGAACAGATTTTTTCCCCTTTGGCTTTCTTTCTGACACAGCCTTTGTTCCTCTCTGCCTGTGAGCAGAGTTAAAGATCTTCATCTCTGGTTGCTATTGCCGTCTCAGGACAATGGCTATAGCCAATGTTGCCTGAAGCATTTCATCCAAACTCTAGCAACAAGAGCACTGCGCAGAAGCTGACAAGGCATATTAACCGAATCCACTGCCAAAAGCAGCCGTTACCAGCGCTGCCAGCACAGCCCTGTTTGGTGAGAGTATTAATTTCACAAGCGGCCCTTCCGCATACATTCTCACATAAGCCAAGTGACCAGGTCCCTTCAAGTTCCCTCAACAATTCTTCATGACAGAGGCCGCAGCTCCCAAAAAAATCACTAGGGAGATATATTCCCCCACAACGTTCTCACTCATTCTCATTCTTCCTGACCAAGTCCCATAAGCTGCCTCCTTTTTGCTCCCCAGGACAACTGTGTACACATCTGGCTAGTGGAAAGTTCCCAGATGGAAAGGTCCTGCTAGCAGGAAGAAGCTTAACTTACACCCATGGCCACAGCAGGTGGGGGACTATCAAAGGATCGCTGAAGGGAATTAAACAGGGTTTGTTTGAAAGATATTCACAAATGCTTTGTATGCTTCTCTGCACAGTTCCTTCCAGTGAGGAAGGAATTAGATTTAATTAATTAACTATATGCTCTGCAAAGAAGAAGAACAGTGACATGCCCAAGAACACAGAATAAGTGACAGAGACTACAAATTGATGGAGGTAGCCTGATCTCCAAGCCAAACTAGGCAGACAGAAGAAACAACAGCAAATCATGCCAGAACCGGTAGCGGACTCAACCGCCAAGATGCGGCAAACAACTGGCTTCTGCTCAGCAACTCCTGACCTATCCACTCTCAGCAGGGATAACTCCTGGATCTGTCCATGCCCTCCAGGGATTCCTCAGCTGCTTCCTCTAGAAATTGTCCTGATGCAGCCTTCAACATATTTCCCAGAAGAGGAAAACTCCACAACGGAAACCCTCTAGAGCCTGCCTCAGCACAAATTTAGGGAACTAGCCACATTACTGCGCAAACAGCTTCTCCCAACACTGAAAGCACAGAGCTCTCCAGGAAGCCCAAGTCAGAAGCCACACAGCTCCCCGAGCACAGTGACAGGAGTGGCTCCAAGGCCAATGCAGTAAATGGCCCTCACCCACCTCTTTGCATTCATGACTGACTGGCTCTGGAGTCACATTCTGGCTGGTAGCTGAGACCATTGCACTGCTGGTGCTTTTGTTTCGCCCATGGCCCTTCCTGAAGACGGCTTTAGAAGGGCTCTGGAGCTGAGGGTGCAGGTCCCGGTTCGGAGAGGAAGGTGTGGATGTGATCACCAGTGTCTTCAGAGCTGTTACCTCTGCCTGTAGCATGTCGATCTGAGGAGACAAGGCAAGAGTCAACAGCAGCTTCAGCACTTGCTAAGCTTGAGCTTGCTGCACCCCACCAAACACTAAAGCCACAGGGAACCAGCTACAACCCCAGTCATGAAGCCTTCTCCCCATTCTCCCAAATGCCCACCATCACCCAGAATTTTGAACAGGGCTAAACAGCAGCTATTCGGGAACCCATCCCTCTGCTCCTCACTCTGAGCACATTTTGCCCCAGACACATTTTAGACTCAATAACCCAGACGAAATTTCTCTCTTCTCAAGAAGGAACTAGTTGAGCAGCCCTGTGATGCAGCTTTGTCGGGGAATTCCAACTCCCCAGCTCCCTGCTCTATCCATCCCCACATCTGTGGCAATTAAACAGCCTATCACTTCTTTGTGGTTCCCCTGTCATCCATTTCTCAAAGGGGAGCTGGATCAGCAGCAGACTTGCAAGGATGCCTTTCCCCCCCACACCCTCAGTGTCTGCTGGAGAGGGCACAGAGCAAATGCAGCATCTCAGAGAGACCGAGCTGCAGGCACTTTACTCTCCTCCAGCCAACAAACGGCACCATGGCCAGGCTGGGCAGGGATGGCACCAACCCAGCACAGAGATCAAGTCAGAGAGTGCAGTTCTCACCTTCCCCCGTGCCTCCCTCAGCTGTTTCTCTGACGCCGCCTGTTTAGTGTTTGCTTCTCTCACCATCTTGTGCGCTTCCTGGACCAGAGAGAATTTTAGTCTGCCTGCTGCAGCCCCAATTCATAAAGCCAGAAGGGCAGGCCAAAGCCCTGCCATATCACATACTCTGGGCAAACAAGCAGGGGGGACAGACATCACTGTCACTTCTGAGGGTTTTACTCTGTCAGCTGTGAAGAGCCTTCCCCCAGAATTTCCCAGAGAAGGCTCTCAGTGCCAGAGCCTGGAGGGCATCCCCCTTCTAGGGGTCTAGTTGGTTAAATTAAAGTGTTTAGCTGGCTGAGTCCAAGGTCATCTCTCTCACTGATATGAGCTGCTGTGAAGAAAGCTAGAAGCAAAGGCCTGCCCCTCCTTGCCCTGGGGAGTTGCTTTAAAGCCAAGGCTGTAACATTAGCACCTATCTGTACAGCAACTGTGTCTGCACCCAGTCCAGTACCTCTGTGGCTCTGACCTTGACTTAGACTCACGAGCTTGGCTTCTTGACTTGACCTCAGGCCTGCGTTGTCACTGCAGACTGGCTGGTTGATCACTGGACTGTTTTCTGACCCCGATTATTGTCTGTGGCACAGATCCTGATGCAGACTGGCTGCTCCGCATCTTGGCTCCTCACTGGTGAGGTCACAGCTCTTGCCTGACTTGTTATTGCACTTTGCTCCCACCTCCCCTGCAGAGCAGCCAGCCCTCGCGGTCTAGGCATGGCTGCAACACAGCAGGAGCTATAGCTCAGGTGGGGGCCGAATGGTAGAAGCTAGCTTAAAAGCATCTCCCACAGGAAGAGAGGAGCGGTGTGAGTCCTAGCTGGGGCCTCCCCACAGCACAGTCTGGAAGCAGTTTGTCCAAGGCCACCAAAGGAAGGGGACAGCCCTCAGCTACATTATCTCTAAGTTCACCCTAAGCACAGGCAGCCAAACCTCCGGGAGGAAGATGCTCTCTTGGCCCTTGCACTCAGCACCAGCCCGTGTTTCAAAGGCACAGATGGGGCCTGGCTTTCCTCACTGCCCAGTCAGATCCAGACATTAGAGCTGCTGGTAAATGGGATTTTGCCAGGATAGAGCTTGGCAAGAATCACATTACAAAAAAAACACAACCAACAGGCCTTCTGAACTGAACACTCACTGGAGCAGAGCATATGAGGACATCCAGCTTGCTCCCACCCCAAGCAAAGGCAGACACAAGCCAGGGAATCATCTCTATTACACAGCAGCTGCTGTCCAGACTACAGAGCAGGCACAGGAGAGGGACAGGGAGCCATGCTTACATCCAGCTACAGGCAGTCCCACATCTGTTTTTCCTACCAGATGTACAGACCCATACTGTGCTCTTTATGCCACCACACAGCCGCTAGAAGGGAAAAGAAATGCATGCAAATACTCCCCAGGAGGAGCTACAAGGCCCTGCTCTGAGGGTCTGCCTGCAGCACTACCCAGCTCTGCTTCTCCAAGTGGGAAAGAACAACAGGGGAAAGAAGGAAACTGTGGGAGGAGATGGCTGGAAGTTCAGGGAAAGCCTGTCTTAAAGGAGCTGGATGTAAGCTTAGCTTAAGAAATGATGGGAAAAGGAAGAGGGTGGTACCTCAAATAGGCTAGCTGTTAACTCCTCTAGTTCCTGCTCCAGTTGTTCTCTGACCTTTGACAATCTCTCACATTCTTTGTCCTTCAGCTTCAGCTCCTGTCGAGGAAACAGAGAGGGACGCATGAGCTCATAGCAGACGCAAGTACTACCAATGCCTGCCTGCCCCTACCTGTCAATCACCACCTTTCCTCCCCACCATGGCACAGATCCCCGGCCCAAGACTCCTGTCGCTAAACTCTACCACGCTCCATGTCACCAAAGGCATCCCTCCACAAGCTGTAGCGGGCTTTTCAGGCTGGAATTGCTCATTTGCCATTAGCAAGGAGGCTCCACAGTAAGCACTGCCTGCCTCAAACTGCCTTCTGCAGCAGGTTTCCAGGACTAATTTGGATGTTGGCACAGGCTTTGGGTCAACCTAGCAACTGATGTCCTGCTCCAAAGCACTTTATGGCCACCTCAGCTCAATCTCTCTCCTCTTCTGCCTGCTCCAGACTGCAGCACAGCCACATTCAGACCCTGCTCCCCTCAGCACCACCTCTAGGAAAACCCTCCCTGCTCAAATCTGTGCCGCCATCCTCAGATGTTCTCACAAACTCTGGGCCTTACCTTTTGTGCTTTGTGCAGCTCCTCCTTCAGGAATTCAGACCCTTTTTCACGGATCTCCACCGAAGAGCTGCGTAGACGTGACACATTGAGCTGCTCGGTGGACTGGGACTCATCCACACCTCCAGCATCCTGGCATCCAGTCTCCGGCTCCTCCTTGCTGCCTTTGGATGGCATTAGTGTCTTCCAGTGTCCCACAGCTGGTTGCTTCGGGCCGTCTTCCTCAAAACTGGCCTGGCTGTGGGGGAACCAGCACAGTGACATTTTATATGAGGGCAGTTCACAGCCTTCCTCTAACACTCACAACCCCTCCACCTCCAGCCTCTCACAGGCACTGAAGTGAGGCAGGGAGGGCGATGGGGTATGAGGAGGCCAGGACTGGCTTTAGAGGACCTGCTTTGTGTCCAGCAGCAGCACCAGTCCCTTTACCCTGCATGCAGGCACTGCCTCCCTATTGAAGTGCTTCACCCTTTGGGCATGGATTGCTTCCAGACCAGCAACAGAAGAGACGATGACAGTCTAACATAAAGACTTTGGGGGAAATCACCACTCCTATCCTGGGATCTTTGAGAATCACACCAAGTCTACTTTGAGATGGCCAGCCTGCACTCCTTTTAAGAAGGGCCATTTTTTCAACAGTGAGTACTCCCTCACAGATAACTCTGGACACACAAAACAAAGCCATGCTGTTAGCAACTCCTGGTTTTACCCTTCTCAACCAGCATATCCCAGATACTATTAACTCAGGATAAAGCAGAACTAGACAGCTGCTCCAGGAATCCCATTCTCACCTGCTTTCAGAGAAAAACAGTCAGCAGCTGGCTTGTTTAGGACTCCAGTACACACCCAGTAGACCCAAGTTCAGAGACACTGCTTCCCCAACTGAAGGGGAGTAGCAAGAAAAAGCAAGTACAGCTCTCCCATTCCCTAGCAATACGCAGACCCTAATCCCCTCCACTGCAAACCCAGCCTTCCTCTCCCTCCTACCCCTGCTTCAGAGGGGAAGCATCTATTTTTAACCTACTGGTTTCCCACTGAAGTCCTCCATAGGGCTGTCTAAAACAGTGTATTTCCATTGAACTGGGACAAAGCCCTGTTTTTTCGTTTCAGTGGCTGGCAAGCAGAGACGTACTAGAAAAGAGGGAACCAGAAGAATCACCCAGGACACTGTTCCCCAGTGCTTTGTCAGTTGTCGACAGACTAACACAGGCCCTCAGGAAGAGGCTGATGAATTCAGTAGGTTTTGCAGCAGCTGGGGTCTTAGGAGAGGAAAACATAGGCTTGAATGCCTGCAATCGAAGTGTCACCTAGAGCACATGCATCACCCCTTCTTCATGCATTGAACTGTCCTCATGGGGTCACTTGCCATTTGAAGTCAGAGGGAGTGCAATCAACCCTTGCACACATGGAAGCTTTCTGTCACGTCCAGCCACTCAGCAGAACACACACACTGCACTACAGATGAGCCTGCTGCCAGTTATCCCTGGGTCACAAGCCTCAGTTGAGCTGTGCTGCTACCCTCTTCCATGCACAGCACCCATCCCTCCTCCCGCACACTCCTCCTGGCTACTGCTTCTTGCCCACTACCTTGTCCTGCAGAGAAGCTATCACCTTCTTCTGGTTAGGTTCACTTTCTTTTCTTCCCTTTTCCCAATCTCTGTATTCTTCTCTCCTGAATTTGCCCTACCAGCAAATTCAGTATCCCATGCTCTTCCCCCTCGCTCGGGCTGCAGCCCCATACAGCACGACGGAGCACAGGCTGGGCTAATCTCCTCAGCCATGTGCAGCTCAAAAGAGCCCTGTTCTCCCTCATCCCACCCAAACACAAAAGGCAGTCAAACCATAAGGCCCAACTACTGACAGGCCTTTTTCTCCTAGGCTATGCCACCTGGCAACAACGTGGTGCTACCGCCTTTTCTACTGAAATTGCTCCCTTTCTGCCACCCACCCCCCCAAGCTGTCCAGGAGCAACAGTTGTCCAGAGTCATCTTCCAAAGAGGGAAAGACGCAGCAGCAGCTACCAGTTAATTCAGCTCAGGTACCACAGGAAAGCATGTGGAAAAGCACACATGGAAAACTCTCTGAACCCTTGGAAGATGAAGAGCGCAGGATCATCCCTGCTGCCGTGCCATGCCAACTGGACAGCATTTTGACTACAGAACTGGGGGGAGGAGACATGCAGTTGGTATCACAGATTTTGCTGGCCTCTCTGTTGAGCAAGAACAAGGGAAAGCACCAGAACGATGGTCACACAGCAGTGCTGAGAAGGGAGGAAAGGATAGAAACTAACTAGTGTCCCATTGACTTCACCTGGCTTTACTGAACATTCACTGGGAAGATCTAGAAAAGAAGGCTCATCCTGGTGATGCTACTAAATTTGGAAGTGTGAAAAATAAAAGGGTGTGTTGGGGAAAGGGCAAGAAAATAAAATGAGTTTTGGCCAGAGGAAAAAGGACAGACAGTTCCTCCAAGCAAAGATAATTCATATTCAGCATGCTGGGACTGCTTGATAAATAGCAATTTACACAAACGTGGAGGGATACGCCTGACGGAGTGAGCCAGGATCAATGGGAACTCCCAGACCGGGCTGGCATCTACAGTTTGAGGTGCAAGAGAGCACACAAGTGTGAACTACATGGTGTCCAGGGCATGCAGTGCCTGCTTCATTCGGTTAGGCTGCTCTGTTGGCACATTTGGTTAATCAGAAGAAAGGCAGAACTGCACAGAAGAAATAAAATGGTTTAGAAGGATCATTTACCTAAACAGTGACATCACTAGCAGGATGAGGTCTCCAAAGGCTAAGGAACTATCAAGCAAGAGAATGACCCAAGGAAGGAATTAAACCCATTAGGGGAAGGTGGGGACGTAATGAGACCGATTCATCCCAGAGATCAGGGGACGTTCTGTGCAATGGATTTGCCTTGGAGCAGGGAAAGAATGCCAAACAGAGAGGTCTGTGCAACAGTTAAACCGTTTCCCAGGTGGCATAGTGGAAGCCCTCTCTGCTGTGAACTTTTGAGACTAGACAGGGTAAATTGCAGAGAACACATCTCTCCAGATTCTCCTGCATTAGAGAGGAGACACAGCAGAAGGACCCCAACCAACCAGTCCAAGCAGCTCGAGCTTCTGTGATCAGAATGAAAAAAAAAAAACACAACCAGAGCATAGAGGAAAAGCTATATTCAAAACCAAGCAGCTAGTAAAAAAAAACAAAGCAGCAGCAAGGAAAAGGGACATTACAACAGTCCACTAAACTACCAAGACAGCCAATCTAACCCATATGTAAAAGGAAGAAAAAACCCCAACGTTGTTTCTTCATGACTCGCAAGTTCTCAGATGAAAGTTGTTTGTCTTGGGAAGCAGGTATTCCAGCGTATTTCCACACGCTACGGAAGAAAACTGGAGAATGCGGAGGAATGAAACAGTCCCACCCACACTCCGTAATGCCAGAGGACCTAAAAACCCATCCTGAAAAATCATCCCCCCTTCTATGATGGAATAGCGCATTCTCCACGCAAACGGAATCCTCAAGAAAGCCTTGGCTATGCTGGCTTCTGCCCAGCCAAACCCCCATCTCCAGTGCCCAGCTGGGGCTTTGAAGTACATCCCCACAGAGACCAAAGGGCCAGCACAGGCACTGGCACTCTCTTGCTAACACTGGTCTGACTGGTGGCTGTCTTTCTCAGAAAAACAGATCATATCCTAAAGGTCCCACAGTGACACAAGAAATGCAAATTTACACCAAAAAAACCCAAACGAAAACCAACACCCCACAACCCTCTGAAGTTGGATTCTGTAGAAAAAGCAAAAAAATGTGCAGGATCCGCACTTTTTCCAGCAGGCCCCACATGTTTCCTGCAGTGCTGATCTGACAGGATTATTTCCCCTACAAACAGCCTGCGGGTCTCTGCGGGTTCGACTCTTGCCCTCAGGCTTGCGAAGGGGACCCGACTTTTCCATCCTGGTCCGGACAGACGCCTGACCGCTGCCGCGCCGACGGCCACGAAGCACCATCGGTCCCCAACCCGCTCACCGCCCCACCGGCTCCCAAAAGCTTTTGGCAAAGGATACGGTCCGTTCTGTTAGGGCGTAACGCACAACCCGGCTTTCTTATATCTGCCTCAGCAGACGGCAACCACCCGCTGCGTC